CGTTGCCCAGGGTGCACCACGTGGAGGTAAGTCTATCGCTTACCCCACGTTTGACAAACATATAAAATGAGTTGGCCTCAAATAAGCGTGGACTTCTTGATGAAAAAAATTTACCGCATGGTTTCACGACAAAATATGACTACATGCTCTTCTAACATGCAAAACAAGGATTGAAATTATTTCAAAAGTCCATTTTGGTTTAAATTTTAAAGGCCTACGTTACTGGAGACGCAGTCTTTGGCTACACAGAGGACACTGCTCAATTGATTGTCAACACCAACGGTCGCATGGTCACTGGCCCTCAAAGGTCAATGGGCTACTCACAGGCTGATGCGGTGACCTGTTCGGGAGCAGGTCTTACTCAAGCCTACATCGGTGCCACCAACTCTTTTACTGTCAATGCTCAAAATGCAGGTAAGCGCTTCCACTCTACCTCCAATGCAAAAATAATAGAGACACGAAAGTGTTAAAATATCAAGTCAATTTGTACTGAGAGAGAGAGAGAGAGTCTTTAAGGAATAATTCAACACTATTTACTACTGCAGAAGGCAGGAAGTCAAACGTTTTCTCGTTTTGGTTAAGACAGTTAAATTATAAGTTGAAATGACAAGTGATAGGGAGCTTTCTCCATATAAAGAGATAGAGGGCGAGAGTAGTAACCCATATCCACTGCCTATTTGTCAATTTTTCTGAACTAAAAAAACAAACATTCTGCATGTAGAAAATATAGGGTCTATTGAAGGAAATTTTGGCCATATTGTGAAGATATCGATCTAGCACATTAGAAAAGCAAAACGGAAATACTTTATTGAATAAATTGGAGTAGTTTAACATCTGTTTATTGATTTTTTTGGGGGTAAATAATAACGGAGCATTTATATTGGTGTGAGTAACGCTCACTTTAAGGAGAAAATAAAGTTGGTTCATATTGCGAGCACCTCCAATCTTTGTCCTCTCAATTTTCTTTATTCTAGGCGGCTATCTGGGTAAATTGGAATAAAGATAAGCCTAGTTGATGCCAAAAGCATCTTCGATACTCTCATAATTATCATCACATTTTGTCCTTGAGGATGGCATATTCCATATCCCATTGTTATCCCACTTATCATTAGACAGCGGCATTGGCTAGTTATTCTCAGGGGAAGGAGGACGGAGGAGGGGGGGGGCGTGTGGCTGAGTTACCTCCCCTCCATTGCCTCCTCTTAATGACCCTCTTATCATACATACGCATCGTCGTTTTTTTCCCCTCTGCCATAACGAGCATAACCAGAGCATGTTATTTTGGCCCAGTGTTGCATTACCTCTACAGCATGCTCTTTAGTGACCTTGACTTCAATCTTATTAAAACAAGACTTTCTTATCTTCACGTTGGCCAATTCCAAAAAAGGTTAAAATTCGAATGAATGAGGTTAAGTTGACCTAATTGGTGCTAATAAAAGTTTAGTTAGATGATAACCATGGAATACACATCTTTCGACATTTTGTTATAACAGCGCATTGCAAAGTACGGAATCTACCCAAACGTTTTACTACTAGTTAAAAGCACGTTTTGACATTTTTATGGACTCTAGTGGGTCTAATATTACGTTCTCTCCACTTCTCCATTTCCAGGAAATGATGTCCTTTATGTTGGAGTATCTGGTCCAGTAGTTCCTTGTGAAGAGGTGAACATAAAACACCTTGGCGACAATCTCTTTGGAGTCCAGTACTCAGTTCGCGATCGTGGACGTCATTACATCATGGTGAAATGGGGTGAAACCCATATTCCAGGAAGTCCCTTCATTGTCGACGTAATATAAGTCAACCAAACTTTCGTCAGATTATCCAACGCAACCTCTAGCTAATTTGTCTTCTCGTGGATCTAAAAAAGAAGAATCCATTTTCGAATGAAGCGTGAATATCCTCCCCTTTCTTATTCTTTTTCTTCTTTTCTTCTTTAAAAGTCAATCGATAAACCAATTGCTGCATGTGCTTTCAGAGTAGTTTATTCGTACAAAAAATGTTCTCAATTTCACGTTTGTGCCTTGATCGAATTTTCGCCTGTAATACCTAAAAACCACCTTTATTCCCAAAAGCCCTTTCGCTGATTTTAGCAGTTCTCTCTGTTCCTTTTGGTTGATTTAGTTAACTTCAAACCCACTCGTCCCCCCAACCTGCCCCACCCTCCCAAACTCTATTCCCCCTTTTATTCTCAAGAAATCCAGCTTCGCTTTGAGGTTGAATATCCACTGTGAGAAATATAATTCGACTACTGTTAATGATCCATCTTGTCTCCCCTCTCTCTCTCTCTCACTCTTGAAACACCAAGTCTGGGCGGATGGAAGTTGACTACTGTGGAGGGGGGGGGA